AAATCCAGTTCTTTCCACCCTCCACTCCCACCACACACACACTGCACACACACACAAGGCATTTGCTCCAGCCATTTTAGATAACTTAAGTTTGACTGTATGCTACAATATTAGAAATGGAATGTATTTTGTGTTTTTTGGCTTTTTAAAAACCTCAAGTCTCACATTGAAACTCAATCAGGTGAATGAATCGTTTTAAAGAAGAAAGGCAGCAAATAGCAGAAATTTGAAAAGATTAGGGGTCTGTGTAGAAAAGAAAAAACTGCCTGCCTTTCCATATAGTCATATGGATCAGTGGGTGCCCAGATATGGTGGGTTTCTTGTGACTATTTGATTTATCTAATTAAAGTTGTTGATATTCATTAAAGTTTTTCCATGGAAACAATATCTCAGGTACATAACTGGTTCTGAAAGGGCTTGTCTGAAACATAGAACAGGAAGCGAAGCTTTAAGACAGAACTTAGAGGCCAAAAGGTGTCTTTCAGCTCTGAAGTAGAGAGCCTTGAATTCAATTGCATTCGATTAATACCAATGCAATCACTCCATGTGAGTGGGGGGTTGGAAATAAAATATTATAAAGTATTATTTTGTATATAAATTCTTTATTATATGCTGAATAAATGTGCACTTATACATTAGATAGTATACATAATTGTTCACATTCACATGTCATATTATAGAGGGCTATATACTCAAAATCCTGAAGTTATGAGTAATTTAAGGGATTTCCAAGTGTAATTTTGACCTTACTTGCTTTTTGCCTTCAGCACGGTCCTAGAAGCCCAACCAGCCTTTGAGCCAGTGTGAATTAAAATGTCCCCCAGGGAAGGAGAAGGTCCATGGGATAGATGTCTCCTGGTTGCAAGTATTAATTCAGATCTGATTATTATTAAGGTGGGGTCTTTCTGTCAGATACTGGAATTCACTAAGACTAGAGAAGGAAATGAGATCAGAGAGACTCGGGAGTGTTTTGATGTCATCCAGAATTGTACAAAGTTTGCTTTAGTCACACTAAGACAATTGGGAGAAAACTTAGGTGAGAAGATCTTTCAAAACTAGGAGAACGTACTCCAAAGTCAGTGAGAGAGTGTTTGTGAGCTATCATATTAGAAGTGTGTTGTGTTGAGTTACAAATCGTTTTCATGCCCGAGTTTGCTTCTGTAGCTGCTGAGGGCATATGGAGAGGACAGTTCACCAGAGCTAGCCAGAAAAACCTTCTGCACTTAATCTCTTCTCAGAGGCTGTGTGTGCAGTAATTATACAGAGAACAACTCAAGTCTCACAGAAGGGGGTATATATTTACAAGGACTAAAATAAGAGCACATTAAAGTCAGGCAGGTGCTTGACTGGGGAATGCAAACCCATCTTTTCAAAAGAGTCTCTGGAAGTTTTTATTTAAATGTTTTCAGCAAAATAAACTGTTACTAGGAAAACATCTTGTTATAAATATAAGAAGGGTCTGCAGGCCTGAAATGTATCTGTCTGATTTCTCTTTCCTTTGTGATCCCACTAAGCCCAGAAGCTCAGCAGTGAAAGTCAGACGTCCTTGTGCCCTTCATCACCCACAGCTGCTGGCAGAAAATGGTCAGTGTCTCAGCTTAAAGTAAACAATCTTTCTTGACTAATGAGACCTGATCTTTTAAAGACTACATATTCAGAGGCCACTTTTCACCCAGGAGGCTCTTGCATGATGTAACAGGCCAGCCTATAGACAGCCAAGAGTTGTGTTGGAGACACATTTCACAGAAATGCTGTGGAATATGCCAAAGAGGACTGTTCTGAATTTACCTCAATGACTATTGAGTTGAATTATAAACAAAAGTCATTGTTTTAGGATTTATTCATTCTGAAATTATATTTTTTGATAACAGTGTGCAGCATTTGGAAGTTTATCTTTGAGTTATTTTTAAAAGTTTGTTACTTTACAAAATTAATGAGAAAACAGAAGAATGGTTTGCTAACTCTTGAGTGCTAAGTTTTCTGAAGGACTTTGGATATGGCCATTTATAAACAACATATTATTAATACCCATAGATCACAATGTTTTGACACATTCATTATAAATCATTTTTAGCTATTCATTTAAAGAGAATGCTCCCTAAACAATTATGCTAGCTTTTCTCTAGTCATCCAAAAATAATAAGGTATTGATTGATTTATTGATTTAATAATATAAGCAAAATAGCATTTAATGGGTTCATACCTTTCATTAAATAGTCAAGAAAGATTTGCTGTGTGCCTACTGTGTGGCAGGACCTTTTGTAGGCACTGGGAATGATCCCAGAGAACAAAAGTAAAAAAGAAAAAAAGAAAGAGAAGCAAATCTCTGCCTTTACGGAGCTTATATTTTCCTAGATGTTGGAATTAAGACAATAAACAACCCAGACAAAACCCCTGCCTACAGAGTTTAAATTCTGGTGGGAGAGACCGGCACTACATCCAGATGACAATTTTATAAAGATAATTGGATTGCAATATAATACGACATACAGGGTGAGGGGGTACATGGTCATTCTGAGGCCCACTTTAGACACAGTGTTCAGGGAAGATCTCCTGAGGAAATGAGATTAAGCTAAAACAGGAAGGATAATAAGCCAGGTATTTAAGAACCAGAGGAAGGGCGGAGGAGGTTTACCAGACAGATTGATAGCCAAAGGCAAGGAATAGTTTGCTGCTGGGTGTGTGTGTGTGTGTGTGTGTGTGTGTGTGTGTGAGAGAGAGAGAGAGAGAGAGAGAGAGAAAGAGAGAGAGAGAACCTGTTCTGACCAGAGTTTACTGTGAGCAGTCCCAGAGTCACAGGTAGGAGCAAGGTCATGCATGGTTTGGATTTTAAGTGCAAAGGAAAAGGTTTTAAGAAAGGGAGTGGCAAAACTAATTTGTATTTGCAAAAAATGTCATTCTGACAACTTGAGAATGGATGGCACAGGAGCAAAGACAGAGAAGGGAGAGCAGTGTGGAGGCTGTATAAAGGTGGTGAGGGTTTGGGCCATGGTGGCGGCTCAGGAGATGGAAAGTAAGCAATGGCTTGGGGATATATTTTGGAGGTTGACTTGAAAGGACTTGTTTAAGAATGGGATGAGAATGAGCAGAGTAAAAGAAAGGAACCAGATCTCAACTGATAGAAGTGCCAAATATTGAGATGGAAAAGATGGGGATAGAAATAAATATGGATGGAGAAAGGGAAGGGTGTTGTGAATAACCATAAGTTCACTTCTTGACATGTTATATCTGTGACGTCTATTGGACATCCACATGAAAGTGTCATAAAGCCCCTGTGATATATTGGTGATTTTCAACCTTTTGCATCTCAGGCACACATAAACTAATTACTAAAATTCTGCAGCACACCAAAAAAATTTTTTTTGCTGATCTGACAAAAATAGATATGATTTTGATTTATTCACACCAAATGGCTATTGTGTTGCCTGTTGTCATTTTTTAAATTTGACAGTCTAAAGGAAAAGAGGTCAATGCCCCTGACTACATAGTCAGGTATTGCATATTTTAAAAATTCTTACAGCACACCAGTGTGCTGTGGCACACCGGTTGAATATCTTTGGGATATATGAATCTGGAATTGAGGTTGAAGGCATAATGTTGGCACAACCAGCAAATGTAAAAAGTGTAAAACTATAGGCCAGGATGAGATCACCTGAAACTACAGATGATAAGGGCACATTTAGTCAACACAGTTTTTTATTGTGGATCCCTATGTACAAGGCATACTGCTTAGTCATAGGCAAACAGATATGTAAGTCAACGCCTGCGTATCCTCAAGGTCCTTAAATTTTGGGTGTGAGGAAAAAACACATGAAAGTGAAATTAAATGTCAAAAAAGGATACTTTATTAATTCAGAGAGGAATTACTGTGAGCACTGACAATGAGTCACTTTGTCATGGTGATGATAGTATAAGACCATAATGGGGGCACTGACCAAGATTCATGGGGACTGAAACCTTCAAAAAGAATGGTTTGTATATATGTACCTACTTTTTTTCTAAGAGAGAAAACTGTCAAATTTAAATTGTTAAATTCTTTCAAGGTATTGTGAATTAAAAGAGATTGGAAATATTGCTATAGGAGATCAATTTAATCATGGTTTTAAAAAGACTGGTTAAATTATAGAAGTGCCGAGAATAAGGAAAGATATTTCTGGAAGTGGGGAGAGTGAAAGACATAAGCATAGAAACATTATGAGAAAGAAAAATGCAAGGTATGCTTGGAGATGGTTTTAGACTTGTGTGATTGGGGCAGTCATTAATATAGAACAGTTAAGAAACTGAAACTGGAAAACAGGAGAGGACTGAAATAAGCGGCAAACTTAAATGCAAACTAAGGAAATAGACTTTCTCTTATAGACCATGAGGAATCATTGGATTCAATTCAATTAAAAAAATACTGAACATATGATATATACAAAACAATGTGTAGTACCCTGGTTGCAGGGGTGGGGGTGGGAGATGTACGTGTAAGGGGAAAGAGTTAAAATTTCCACATAGAATAACAATAGTTAGCAATAATTAACATTTGTTCCTTGATTACTATGGGCCAGGCCCTGTGCTAAGTGCTTTAAATGGATTATCCAATTTAATCCTTGCAATCTCAATGAGGTGAACCCTGTTGGAGTAAAGGGAAGTTAAATTACTGGTCCTCAGTTATGCAACTAGGAAAAGTGGAGTCATTGTTCAAACTCTTGCAGTGTACGTGCAACTCCAGTGCCCAAGCTCTGGAATGCCCTGTTGACCACCTTGGAATATCCTGACTTACTGCCACAGCCAGAGATGGCCTTGACACCATGCTTCTCATCCCAACCAGGGCTGGACACCTTTGGCGTTCACACAGTGGTATGTGAAGTGACAAAGTAAATACTGTATATTTTAATAAATTATCAACTTTATTTCAAGATTTGAAAAATATACATGAAAATAGACATGGGTATTCATGTTATAAGATTCACATTAATTTTAATGAGTATATTTTATAACATATGTCTAGAAAAGTGAACATTTCTAAGCATACAGCTTGATGTACTTTTACAAAGGAAACCCATCCATGTGATCAGCACTGAGACGAAGACAGATAACATTCCTGCACTGCAGAGTCCCCATTGCCCCTTCTCTGACACCATCACCAAGAGTAACCACTATCCTCACTTCCAACACTGGTGATTAGTTTGTTCTCTTTCGTATTTTTATACAAAGAGAATCATGTAGCATACTCTCTTTGCTGCTATCTTTGTTTTCCAAACATTAATTTATGAGATTTATCTACAATTGTTGTATGTGACAGTAGTTTGTTTATTTAATTCACATTAGTTTATAAGGTAAAACATAATGCCACAACAAAATTATTTGTTTTTTTAGAGAGCACATCCACATTTTGTGAGAAAACAATTTAGTCTCCTTTTCCCTTTAGTCAATATGATAACAAAGTTTGAGCGACACAGGAGCAAGCACTGAATCTGGGGTCCGGAGAAAAGACTTCTTGCTCTCCTCTGCCACTCATAGCTGTGTGGCCTATATTAACAAAACAGGGAAGGAAAATTAAAAGTTCTCTTCGGTCTACCTTAGTATGAGTTGTCTTTGCTTCAACTCTAAGCTGAATAGGCTTAGCTTAAGGCAAGTTTATAGAGGAAATAATTTTTCAAAATAAATTAATTTTCTTTATTATAAAAGAAAAACATGTTTACTGTAACAGTTCAAACAACACCTCGCAGCATAAAGGAAAATATGATAACAATTGTTTAATCTTACTTTTCTACATATACAAATACAATGTTAGTTTGGTGTTTATACTATGCTTCTGTATATTTTTTGTTGATACAACTATATGTTCACTTAATGAGCTTTATTTTTGTTGTTTTTGAAATGCAATCATACTAATACATTTTATTCTGTAATTTTCTTTCTTCATGGGAATTCTTTCAGATTGGAATACATGTTCCTGTTCATTTGATGTCTGCACAGTTAATGTGGCATGCCATCCATGCACTATAATCAATCACCACTCCTCAACTGATCCATATTTGGGTGGTTTCTAATTTCTGCTATCACAACATGCTGCAATAAGGATCCCTTTATGTATATTATTAAACTCTAGTGTTCTTCTTCTGTACGCTAGATAGAAACTGTCAGATTGTTTCCTAAAACGTTGCTTAATTTTCATCTTAGTATTTGAGTTTTGAGCAGATTTGAACATGAGATGTGAAGCAAGAAAAGAAACAGGATCTTAAACAATTTACATAATTGTTCCAAATATTTATAGAAAATAGAAAGCTGAAAAATAAAACATTGGGTATATCTTTAAGGGTTAATGTTTGAAATCACTGAAGTCTGAAATCAGAAATGTGGAAGAAATATTTTCCCAGGTAACAGAATGGAAACATGATTATATGCCCCAAAATGCAATATCAAGAATTAAAAGGCAAAGAAAATTTTTTTTTCTAAAATCACAGAAATAATTCATTTGTGTTATTCTATAGAAAAGCAGCTGAGTTGACTCCTTATTTAAATTCGGTTTCAACACCAATCTGGAAAAACTTACAGTATCTTGTTAAAGCCTACTGAGGCATCTCTTCTGACCTGCTACCCCAGACCAAGGAGGCACCCTACCCCACACTCCTCTCAGGACCTGATCTGGAAGGGATAATTATCCTCTACCCAGTAAGATCTGAAACACCAAAACCTCCACTGCACTCTCGAGAGAGAACCAGATGAAAACTATCAACAAGAGGACGAAGAGGAGGAATAGGGGTGGGGAAAGGGAACAAAAAGCCTAGGAGGCCATTGAGAGAGAGGAAAAGAGGGAGGAATGGAGACTAGAGAGAGGAACACCTTCATACACATCCTGACTTCAGGGGAAAAGTAAAGAACATTTTATGCACCATCTTTTCCCTCTGTGTGTGCAGGCTGGAGTGTCAAAGTTTTATTTCTGGTGGTGAACTCTTCCTTCCTGACCTTCCAGGTTTTAAGGGCATAGCTAAGGGGTTGTGTCTGCAATGCGCATAGCATGATGATACAGTAGCGTGCTCTTCTTTGCACTAGAAGATAGCGCTACTTACTCATCTTCATGGTACATGCTGTTTTCTATTCACAGAGATAGTTTTACACTAATCCTGCCACTCCGTTTCCTTGGATTCCATGGTGGCCAGCTGGTCCCATGTGCATGCAGCTGGTTGAGTCGGAGGAACAGCTAATTGGCCAGCAGTGGGAATGAGTCTATGACTTCCACCTCATGGACTGAGTGCTCAATCATCAACCATCAAATGAGTGTGGGCTTCAGTCACTCAGAACTGGACAGAAGGGCTCCAGGACTGATTGATTTTGAAAAGTCATGAAGGGTGCATGTGTCACTTAACCTAAATTTTTTAGCCAATAGATAGAAATGATAATTGCTCTCTCAAGTGTTTTTGAGAACATTAGATAAGCTAAAATATTTAAAGCATTTACTTCATTAACTAAATTGACACTCTTTGGCACCCTCAGACAAGAAATAAATAATAGGGTGTCTTTCTTTTGGATGTAATTCTTGGTGTGTCTACCTAAGAAGTAGCTGGTCACACTGAGCATGAAGTCATGGCCAACAGAAAGGCCGCCTTCACATCAGTGTGTGAAAATAGGTGTGCAGGTGTTTATGAAAAGCCTTACACAAAATTTAAAACAATCAGAGAATACCTCCAATTGTATCCCAGAGAATCCTGAGAATGTCTGTATTTGGTACAGTTTTTTTTTTTTTTGATTGGCTCCTAGTTTAAGTCAAAGTTTAAATATATCTCTTCATTGCTGGTCTACCTCTGATAAACTATTCTTCCTTTTGAATGATATATTTGTCTGTCATTCTGGCCACTGTCAGAGACCTGAAATATAGCCGTACCCTTTTACTGGTTGGTAGACATTCTGGTCTCCATTTTAAATTCTTTCTTAATTTCTTTAATCATGTTAAAAATTTCCATACTATGATTCCACCTCACAAAACTTTCAGAGAATGCTAAGAAACTTTCTCTGTACAGATAAAAATAATCACACTGAGTCATTTCCCTTGCTGCTCTCTGAATTCCCATATAAAGTTATCTACCAAATATACCTTGCCTGGTCTACCAACTGCACCCGCTTACCATGGGTTAATGCTTGTCACATTAGTCACTGGTAATTGCTCAAGAGTTGAGATCAGATAGGCAATCACTGATCTCATCTGTAAAAAAAAAATGACCATCATCATATTAAGGAATAAGAGGCTCCATGTCTACCAAATCACTGCAAGTTATTCCAATAGAACTGAGAATATTTTATAGTAACATGCACAGCCCCAAACTCTGAAAATACCAGGGGGCAGGCAGTTTGGGGTACTTGTTTTACTCTACCCTCAGTGGGTCATTATTTGTCTGCTTAAATTTCTTTTTAAAAAAATACATATTTTACTAGAGCTTGTCCCACTACAAGTTCTCTGCTTGTTTGATTTTTAAATAGAATTTGTGGTTTGAATTAAACCCTACATTTTGAAAATTGAAAAGGAATTCCTGACAAGCTTTTTCCTACACTGGTATTCACTGAGATAGAAGACAGGGAAGGAGTCACACAAATATTTTGGAGGTAAGTACCTCTTTTGGGATAACCTCTCTCTTTGTCTCCTGGGCAGCTTTGGCTAGGGCTATGCTTTCTGGAAGGAGCACTACTCTGGAAGTAGATTTCCAGAACTTGGGTGTTAAGTAATTACACACTGTACCCAAGGGCATCTGATCTTCCAAAATGTTGCACTTTGGCAAATGCAGGGGGAAACTGCTGAAATCTGTTCAAGTTGTCATGACAGACAGGACCATATGGAAAGTGATGGAAGAATTCCTCCTTAGACTATAATTGGGCAGAAACACTGCCTTCTATTCAGCTATGGTATGTGTATGGCCCACAGTGCTTGAGGCGGTGTTCAGGGTTTATTGTATAAGCCTCTAAGCAACATTAAAATGGGACTTTTAAAATACTGTTTGCCTGAAGGAGAAAATTACATTTTATTTCATTTTATTCATAGTTTCAGATTCCTTAATTCCTGAGTATATAATGTGTATACAAGTTGATGATATGAAAAAAAGAAAACTGGGATATGGTTATATGATTTATTTATGGTCTTGTAGGTGAAATTGCCTAGTAGTTGTGTTGCTACCTTCTAGCTGAGCATCAGGGTGCCATGGAAAGTATTTGAGCATGGAGGTCAGCAAGGCTCTGTAGAAGTATGTAAGGGTTCAAGTTCAGCCTCTGGAGCAAAACTGCCTGGGTTTGAATTCTGATCCATAATTCCTTAACATCTCTGTGCCTCAGCTTTCCTGTCTATAAAGTCGCTATATTAATTGTACCTAACTCATCAAGATTATTATGAGAGTAAAATAAATTAATATACACATTTAAAAGTACTTCAAATAGTGCTTAGTCATAATTGTTATTTTTTAATGTTTATTATCATGAGGAATCTAGGATTTTGTGCCATTAAGCACAAAAGATTATTTGTAATGAAAAAGTCGATCACAAATTTGGCAAATTCTCTCTTTATTCTTTTCTTCCCTTCTTGTCTCCCTTTCTCTGTTTCTTTCTCCTGCCTTTTCTCTTTTGCTCTCTTTACCCTGTGCTCTGGCTTCTTATCTGCATTGCGACACTTGATACTTCCAGTCTTTCCCTATGTTGTGTTTTTAATGGCAATGATGTGGGCAGATCCAAGTTGTCATGGGGAGAGCGGCAGGGCTGTGCTGTGCACCTCTCAAGTATGAGAAGGTAAATGCTTCAGTTGTTAGAGACTCCCACTCCATACCTACCCCACGCCTAACAGAGGAAGAAACATTTTTCTCTGCGGGGGTGGCTTTCATGTTGGAAGGAGATGTTGACGGTGTTATTTTTGTTCCCCACAAATGTGGATGTTTAAAATAGTGCTTTATTCAATCGGCATAAGTGACACATAGACTATGTATAGTGGTGGAACTGGTCCTGGTGGGTGATGAGGGCCAGATCTCACCAAAACCAAGAGTCGTGGTTCTCCACTGATAACACCCAAGGGATCTTTCCTGAGGATGGTCAGCACAGAACCCCCATCATGGGCTGCCTGGCAAATTCACTCACACAACCACTGAACTGTTTGAAATGGATGTACCTCAGAGCCAGTGAACTAGGACTTTGGCTTTGTTTCTATGGGGCATGCCAGCGGGTCACATTTCCTCTCTGAACCTCCCTCCAAGAAGCACTGTACTCAGAAGGGTAAGTGTGTCCGTTGTTCTTTCGTGCCTATTGACTTCGTGCCCTGCGGGTCTGGAGCTCAGCCAGCGTAACCGAATCAGGAGGCTGCAGCTCAGGCTATATTTAATTGGAGGTTTATTGTCTTCTCAGGGGTTTAGAAGTTTAGGGAACGTTTTCTGAGATTGATGGGTTATTGTTGAGTTGAAGTAGTGTCAATTTTGACCCCATGTGCTCCTTTTTCAGTGATTGTAACTGAAAGTTTATTTAAAGCCTTATGTTTTCAGTTTTTGAAAATTGCCCTTTTGTTCTTCAAGTCAGCCGAGTGAGCATTCTAGAAGGGACTCTTCCTATTTTGAAATAAATGGATTATGTTTCATGGAGTGTAACTGTGGGAAAAAGGGGATGAAATGTTTTATTCTCGTGAAAATTTCATTACTAAAACTCATCTGATTTGAATTGAAAGAGAAGAAAATGGCTAGCTTTTGAGGCAAATGTAAAGCTTACCATATGTCCAAGGGGGATTTTGAAATCGTTCTAGATTTTCCTTAAGTGGATTTAAAATACAATGCAGAATTTGGATTTTATTTGGGAATGAAGGGGAAAAACCATTTAATCAGACTTAGGAGTGAAGGTGGCAGTGAGTAAAGGATTATTTCACACTAATTAGACATGATTATAACAGATGACATAGAACATTTGGTTGATTTGAATTAGAACCCACATGCCCCATCTACCTTCAACCTTCTCTTTTCATTTTAGAGTCGCCTCTGTACCTTCCAGTGTGGTTTCACTCTGACTAGGGAGCAGACACTAAAAATATTTCTGGAATGACGTGACCCACTCTCGCCCCATCCAGGAAAGAGACAAGGCTTCACAAGAAACAACACATACTTTCCTTTCATTTCTGAGAGTCCCAGGGTCGACCTACAGATGTTGCTCCTTCCATGGCCAATGGCATTTGGACTCCAAGCTGCCAATGGTGCCAGGCAAACAACTGGACAGGACAGCTCAGCTACAGGAAGGTGGCCACAGTCTCGGCCAGAGCAGCAACCCCCAACCCACAGACCACCTCTGCCACCCCATCCAGGAGCCTTCCCACTTCCCTCAGGCTTGCCCAGGCCCCGCCACAGGGGCTGAAGAACTGGGAGGTGGTGATAGCACAGAAAGTGGTGTCTACAGCCTTGGGGACAGTCCAGACACATAGGACCCTGCTTCAGGCAACTCTGCAGCCCCTTCAGCACAAGGGAGGGACCCACAACAGCCCCAGCACTCACCACCGTCTCTTCCTGTCGCTGATACCTAGGCAAGGGCTCAGAATGGAAGCCACCACTCCTGAGCTGAATCCACAGGCAAGACTGAAGGAGGTGGGGGACGGGTTGAGTAGAGCTCAAGATAGCCAGGAGCTAAAGCAGCAGCTGCAGCCACTGCCCAAGTCACCAGCCTCCTCCCAGCAAGAAGCAAAATATGTGGAGATGTGCACTTCAGCTGGAGTCCAGAGGGAGAGTCCGCAGACCATGAAACGGACTCTGGGGTGCTCACCTGGGGATCAAAGGGCCTCTAGGAATCCTAAGGAGGAAGCCCAAGATCAACCCAGAAGTCAAGAGAGCAAGGCTCCAACCCCCCAGAAGAATCCTGCCTCCTTGGAACTCACCGGATCCCAGATCTGCAGCACTGAAGAGGGCAGCAACTTCTCCTCCTCTTCTTCCTCCTCTTCCCCAGTGGGCAAAGCAGAAGGCGGCCTTTCCAAGCTGGATGGACCCACCATAACAACAGGGGCTCTGGCCACCTCGTCTTCATCTCTAGGCTTTGAGAGTGACAGTGGTGAGAGTGCAGTGACCTGCCAGCCCGGGGGAGGAGAGGGAGGGAAAGCAGCAGGAGGAGGAGGGGGAGAAGATGGAACAGAGTGCAGGGACATTATTGCCAAGTCTCAGGGAAGTAGGGGCCCCCCCAAAACTGAGCAGGCTCACTACATCACCACTCATGAGATCCAGCTGAGTGAGGTGGAGCAGGACATGGATTTCGACGTGGGGCTGGCCTCCCGCTGGGATTTCGAGGACAACAACGTGATCTACTCATTCGTGGACTATGCCTCCTTTGGTGGCAGTGATGAGACCCCGGGGGATATCACCACCCCAACCGAAGAGGAGGACAACAGCTGCTACCTCAGCACTACTCCCAGCACAAATGCCACACGGACGCCGAGCCCCTCCAGCAGTGAGCCTACCCGCCCCAGCGCAGGCAGCAGTGGTCGTGACACCAGCAGCACGGAAGTGGGCAGTGACCCTACTGACAGTGGCCCCACTCCCCCACCCACTGGGCCTGGCACTGCCACTCGGTCTGAGCCCTTGCCGGAGCCCCCGGAGGCAGCTTCAGGGGCAGCAGCCGCAGCAAGCAGCTGTGGGAGTGCAGCAAGCCAGATCCTCCTATCAATCAAACCGACTTCCCGGGCTATAAATGAGCCTAGCAACGTGCGTGCAAAGCAAAACATTATTTATGCTGCCAAGCATGAAGGCGACATGAGCCTCCGAGTCTCTACGGCTGCTGAACACAATTCAAGTTCACTGAAGCAAGACCCGGCTGCAGCCGTGGCTCAGGACCATGCAAAGAAATTCATTGCTGTCCCTGCTCGCCTGCAAACACGGTGTGGGGCCATCCGGGCTAAAGAGCTGGTGGACTATTCCAGCGGGGCCTCCAGCGCCGTGAGTGAACTGGACGATGCGGACAAAGAGGTTCGTAATCTGACCTCCCGCGCTTTCCGGAGCCTCGCTTACCCCTACTTTGAGGCTCTGAACATCAGCTCCCGGGAGTCCTCCACACTCTCCGAAGTTGGCTTTGGGCGTTGGTCAACCTTCCTAGACCTAAAATGTGGGGGTGTTGGAGCCAGGGTGGAACAGAGCCTGCTCCGGAGCAGTGCAGCCGCGGTGGCTGCAAGTCTTAGGAAGGATGGTGGTGCCAGGACAACCGCAGACCAGCTCTACATCCACTCCAGAAAGTCCCAGACCAAGGCCTTGGAGTTTGTCGTCAGCAAGGTCGAAGGGGAAATCAAGCATGTGGAGACACCTCTGTGTTTCCAGAAGCAGATGCAGACAGGCTCACGCGTGGTCACCCTTCTGGAGCCTCTGAATTTACGCAGCGAGAGCAAAGCCAGCTCAACCACTGGGCTCTGCAGGGCCACCAGAGGCTCCAGCAAGGGCCCCGGGTCGGTGTGCACAGATGACGGCTCAGAGACCTCTGACAGCAGCAAGCCTGCCACCCGTGCGGATGGCTCCCAGAAGAAGTCTAAGTTTGCTTCCAGTCTGCTCAAAAATGTCATCTCCAAGAAGATGCAGCGGGAGCAGGAGTTCAAAATGGAGAGGGGAGAAGTCACTGACACATCCCATAACCTCTCCAGCACCTCCAAGGAGCCAGAGGGCGCCCCTGCCTCCGCGGGTGAGAAGCAGAGGGAGAGGGGCCTGCAGAGGCAGGGCTCTCGCCACTCAGAGGCCGGCTCGGAATACACTGTGCTCAGTGTGTCTGATGCAGGTGCCGAGGGGTCCATGGTGGGGTCCAAGTCTCCAGTGTTCAAAGCCAGTGCTCCTCGGGAGAGCAATGCTGGCTCCGCCCGAACTTTCCCTGATGGCCACACAGAGGAAGTGTGTGAAATTAAAAAGAGTGCATCAGAGACTGTCAAGGGCATCTTCCTCCGTAGTCAGAACAGTGCATTCCGGTCCTGGAAGGAGAAAGAGGCCGAGAAGCGGGAAGAAAAAGCCCCCATTGGGAAGCTTCAACTCCCTAAGGAGGGTGACTGGAGGGCTGATCTTGGGGAGATCTCTGCCAGCAAGTCCACCATCATGTCACGTCTCTTTGTCCCCAACATCCAGCAGACACCCAAGGACAAGCAGCCAGAGAAACAGCCCACCAAGTACCCTGCTGCTCAGGCCACCTCCACCGCAGTGATTAAGCCCAAGGCTCCGGAAATCAAGATCCGGCTGGGGAGTGTGCAGCAGCCAAGCTCAGACTTCAACATTGCCAAGCTGCTCACGCCCAAGCTGACCAGTGGCAGCTCCTCTAACCTCCTCAAGACCATTGAGGACAACACCAGGGTGCAACAGAAACTCTTCCGGGGGGACAACATGGAAAAAGCGCCCCAGTTCCAGGTGAGAGACGTCAGAGACAAGTCTAAGGCTCAGGCCCCTCTCCACCAGGTGAGAGATGTCAGGAAACTAATCAAAGGGTCAGGCGATAGCAGCGATAAGGGCAGTGTTACCCCGGAGCAGGGGCTGACCGGGCCCAAACCCAGGCAGCTGGCTGCTGCAGCTGGCGGATCCAGATCCCTGTCCCCCATGGTGATTACATGCCAGGCAGTGCTGAACCAGAGGGAAGACAGCATGGACCGAGAGCTGAGGGAGAGCATGGGCAAAGGTGGCAGCAGCAACAGCTTGAATGCCTCCTCGCCAGAAGGGACGGTCTTGGTTCACAGGGCATCTGGCAGGCTGCCGGTGGCCACCATTGCCCCCAATAAGCCTGAGCAGGGCTCATACCTGCCCGTGCTCAAGATCATCTCCAAGGCTTCTGTTCAGAAGACCCCAGAGAAGGCCAAAGACGAGGAGGAAGGGCCAGACCCGAAGCCGTCTCGGAATGCCCTGGAGAAGCTGACTGCTGCAGTGAGGTCCATGGAAGAACTGTACAGCTTCAACAGGAACGAGTGGAAGCGCAAAAGCGACCCCTTGCCAGTGATGACGGACAGCCATGTCCTGTCCCTCATTGCTAGTGAAGAGAGAGAAGGGGGCGGGGGTGCTGAGGGGGATCCCGACAAGCTGGCCAAACGGCCTGGTGAGGTAGGAGAGCGGGGCACAGGAAGCAAAGCTGGAGTGGTCCTGCGAGGGGGCCCCATGGAGCGTCTGCAGCGCAGAAACTCCAACCCGAACACGGAGAGTGTGTCTGCTCGCGCCGCTGCCTTCGAAAACCTTGCCCTGGCCAAGGAAAGGCCCCGATCCCTCTATATTCCCCCAGTCCACAAAGAGGTGGAGAGAACTCAGCCCCTGCAGCCCCTCCCACCACTCCCCAGCAACCGTCATGTGTTCACAGTGAGTGCCAGCAGCGCCCAGAAAACCGGGGGTGTTGCTGGCAAGTTCCCACAAGGGCTTTCTCCAGAGAGCCCTTCAGCAGCAAAAAGCATCAAGTCTCAGGGACTTCGGTCCCTCAAGATCTCTCCGGCCACCCGGGCACCACTTGATGAGGTGACCAACAGGAAAAACGGCAGCACTTTGGAAAAGAGCAATAGTGACTGTGAGAATTACTTGACCATCCCAATTAAAGGAAGCTCTGCAGCTGGGGAACTTCCAGGCAGGCCTAGGGCTGGGAGGGAGGGGCCCCCAGCTTCCTCAGCGGCCACTCTCTGCAGCTTGCCCCCACTGAGTGCCCGCAGTCAGGTCCTCAGTTGTCCCAAAGGCTCCCAGATCAGTGGAACCAGGCGGCCAGCTTGGCCTACCAAACCTGAAAACCCACGGGAGTCAGTAGCTGCCCCCACAGGGCCCCAGAGCCCCCAGCATCCCTCCACTGCCATTTACCACCAGCAGCCACTACCCTTCACCTTGCAGGGGTCACAGCCCCAGGTCCTTTGCTTCTCCCCACCTGGCATGCCTGCCCCAGCACCTGCAGGCCCAGCTCCTGTCCCCTCAGACCCCTTCCAGCAGCCACAGCCTCAGCAGACCCAGCGCAAGATGCTCCTGGATGTGACAACTGGCCAGTACTACCTGGTGGATACACCAGTGCAGCCTATGACCCGGAGACTGTTTGATCCCGAGACAGGGCAGTATGTGGATGTGCCCATGACTGCCCAGCAGCAAGCTGTGGCTCCCATGTCCCTCCCTGTGCCTCCCTTGGCCCTGAGTCCTGGGGCCTATGGACCTACCTACATGATCTACCCTGGGTTTCTGCCCACAGTGCTGCCTACCAGTGCCTTGCAGGCCACGCCAGTTGCTCACACCCCAGGGAGCAGCGAGGTCTCCCAGATGGCCGCAGAATCCCCCAGCAAAGAGGCAGCGGCTAAGTTAACTGAGGCCCCATACTTCATGGCCTCTGGTCAGTCTCCCGCTTCCTCTTCAGCCCCAGCAGCCACATCCCAGCTGGTGGGGGCAAAGGGCTTTGCCCAGCTGCACGGCAAACCTGTCATCAGCATCACTTCTCAGCCTCTGGGGCCGAGGATCGTTGCTCCCCCCTCCTTTGACGGCACGACCATGAGCTTTGTGGTGGAGCACAGATGATGAGCAATTACCAGGAAGCAGGATGGAGCTGGGTGAGTGTGACTTTGATCATCAGATATAAATATTAAGAGCAACCCTGTTTCTTTGTGTGTGTGTGCTTGAAATGTCAGATTTACAGCAGAGGAAGTTGTCTAGAAATGGGCATTTTTGAAAAATAGAACAA